ATGGTAAACATGGATTAAACACCACTAGGTCATCGATGTAACATGAGAAATCCGTATTAATTCCAAATCATGACTACTCTAAATGAACTACCGAGCAATGCATATACTAGCTAGAATGAATGTTGATCATCTCACTTCTTCACAGAGTCAGAACCCATCTCATAGACCGGCTCCTGCTCACGCGCCTCAGGACCGGCCATCTCATAAGCCGGCGCAGGTGTGTGAAACGGTGGGGGCGATGGCTGTTGATTCCATCCGCCGGGTGAAGTTGGTCCGACACTTGAGATAGGTCCACTCATCATCGATATACGAGCATCTGATGGCGCAGGAGATGCCGCCATGCTATGATCAGGATAAGGCTGCGCAGCCGGTTGGAAATACTGTTGCTGAGGATAAGGGTTCTGGTTCATAGGGGCCGGAGGAGGAGCTTGTTGCTGAGCCATGACTGGTTGAGCTGGAGCGGGAGCTGGTTCAGGCTTGGATTTACGTCTGCGCAGCAGGCAGAAGACACCAAGACCGATGAGGCCAATGAGAGCAACACCACCGACTACACCGCCGACAATGGCACCGACAGGTGTTGACTTGCTCTTCTTGGTAGGCTCAGGAGCTTCCGAAGTAGTAGTTGTTTCTGCTTGTGTCTCTGTCTCGCTTGCCTGGCCAGCAGAGCCACTACCGCTGTCGGTGTCGGTGGCTGATAGTGACTGTGATGCGATGCCGTCGCTGAGAGTTGTGGTCTTGAAGTTGGCATTCTTCTGGCCGTCATATGTGAACTCGACAGATTGTGCCTTCTCGACGGATGTGGATGCACAGCGATAATCGGCAATACCGCTTGGGTAGGCATACGTGCGGCAGAAGGGCGTGTCGGAGTCGGTACTGAAAGGTTAGTTAGTATTGGGAATCTGAAACGGCGATAATAGTGTCTCACCATTTAAGATAGAAAGTGTTACTCTGACACACGTCATCGCATGAACTAGGATTGACGGCTACACTAGACTCGACACAAAGGATATAGATGTCGTTGCCGCAACCGACAAGACCGGTACGACTAGTGGCGGCCCATGAACACGGACGACCATTGCCGCAGGTGACTGCAGCGCCTGCTTGCCCAGACAAGTATCCGCATGTTGCGTCGGGAGCGATCGTGACCACTAGAGGCTCACTCGAAGACGCCGCTGCTTGACGTGCGTGAAGTCCATTGTGACCGACAAGCAGTTCTGCTTCGTGAACCAGACCGTATGGGGCTTCGGTTATTGCTGGTGCTGCATCGCGTACGCGGTTCCTTTGAGCGGCGTGAGCCATCTCCATTGCATTCGTAGCTTGGAGCAGAGCTCCAAGGAGGAGAGCCTGTGAAGTTGACCGCATGGTGAACCTGCAAGCCAAAAACCGTGAAAGTTGGTACGAAGAATGGTAAGGAAAAAAAGAGATGCACGGAGAAACAACCAAGACAAGGGACAGGCGACGCGATTGCAGGAAACAATTGTTTTGAAGGAGCCAGCGCAGAGCGACAATGCGGCTGAGCTGCTTCCCCCCCTGGGCAGATCAAAACGCCACTGGAGGGCCAGAACCAATATCGTGTGACAGGGCTTGCAGAAGCTGAATCCTCCATACCGGGGTCCCCTCAGCCGCACCCATTCAGGATGATTGTTAGCAATCTCCGCCTCGAAACGGAGCTAATTACGTTGGAAGAGGACTTTTAGACGATGGCTTGAGGTACAAAAATAGCGAAATCGCGATTCTTGGAGAATATTTTGAGATTTGTTCCGTCGATGATGGAAATGCAGGGGCCATCACGGAGTGGGGAGGGGTCCAATTGCTTGAAGATGTTGTTGCTAGGACAGGATAAATATCATTGACCGCGCTGCCCAATTGACGCAGAGACCTCGTTCTCCCAATTGGGTATGCGATGACACCAAAAGCTCTTGTTGCTGGCACGTACGGACCCTTACTCAAGCACTGCCCCTCTACCATTTCACGTTGGATTCATCTTCATCGCGAGCCAACAGCAATCTATCTCAAGCCCAGACCGAATAAAGAAATAAAGGAAGCAGGATAAGGCATACGACAACAGTGGCGAGGCATTCACCAGACACAGATTGAGCGTCCCTTGCTTATCGTCGCACAGCTTCCCGTAAACAGCACCCCTGCCTCTATACGAGATCTGCTCCGCGGTGCAACATTCATCCCGACAGCCCAACTCAATTGGGCATGACCCCCCAAGACCGCTGTTTTGCAAAGCTAAGCGTGAGCCGTTTTCATTTCGGCGAATATGCTTAACATCCGCCATGTCATGTCTCATTGGCTTGGCGTCGGGAGCTGAAAGATTTCGGCGCTATGATTTGGGACTATTGGTCTTGGCAACTGTCTTACAGTCACAGCCCCAGAGAATGAGCCTTGTAAGGCTCTCGACGAGAAACAATCGCGGTAACGTTGCGGTAGGTGACAGGTCTTGGCTGAATCGCTACAAAGAAGCTGGGCGGGCAAGTGAAGAGCAGGATATGCAGCCAAGACGTGAGGCTCTGTGAACACCCGAACAGCGGAGGGCCTGTGATTAAATGGTGTAGAGAGTGGTTCTGTGTTGGTGCTGGTGGTCTAGATGCGACCCTCGGCCGCTAAATTGAGGGGTTGAAACGCCACGTCTGGGACACATCACGGGCCAGACAAGATTCAGTAAGTGTTGCTTAGTTGTTGCTTCCACTTCCCGCTCAGCAACATTGACTACGTTTGCTGTAAAAAAAAATACAAGTGTAAGTTTCCGGCTGGGAAAATAACCTTGAAAGCCTTTATTAGCACACAAATGGAATAATCACTCAAGGCGACCAAGTCCCGCAGATTGAGGTCTGTGCATAACATGCATAATGCTTATGCTGACGACGTAGGACTTTATGCACAGAAACTTCTGTCAGCAAACACTAGCCTGTGATACGCGCAAGGAAGATAATGACATCACTTGTCTTTCTAACCTCTAGTTACTGTGAGCCAAGGAATTCGCCAACTTCAACAGAGACATTTTCATAATAGCCATACTTCTCCTCCATAACATGACCATCTTATCCGACTTGCCTGACGAGACCCTCGACAGAGTTTTCCACTTCGTTACAAGTGATCGCGTGTCCCTTGAAAATGTCAGCCTCGTCAACCGCCGCTTCAACAAAATCGTCTTCCCTCTCCTCGTGCGCCAATGGAGCAACAGCCAAGAATGTGTTGAACCTTCCATCGAGAGACTTGCTCTCCATCTTCTCCGAAACCCCCATCTTCGGAGGCACGTTGAAAGGCTGGACTTTGGATATCTTCGACCCTTGCACGATCATGATCCCGATTCAGTTGACTTGAGCCCTGAGACTCTATCTGCTCTGGCAAACGCTGCTGAGCAAGATCTACAAGTATCCGAGTTTCTCTCAACTCACGTGTGCCATCGCATACGCCTCGGGTGCGAGGATGCTATCGCCGTGTTGATCTTGGCTTGGTGTACGAGGTTAACCCATCTGAACATCACGATACCATCTTTCTATCCTGAATCTCGCCAACACTTTGTGCCTTTACTTTACGTGAAAGAAGCTGTTAGTCGATTGCTTGATGAACCGGCTGAGATGGCATCGCAATTGCCTCTGGGTCGGGTTCGTCATGTTACCCTACAGCCCTGGAACAGGGAGACAACTTTCGACATGGCGTATGCTATATCGTTTCTGCACCTCCCTGGTATCCAGACGCTCTGTGCCCATGGTTTATTCGATGACCCGGATGATGAGCTGGGTAGCGAGGAAAATGAACTTCCTCTAACACATCTTGACGACTACGTGCTCCCTTTTCCAGTTTCGACATCACCCATCACAGAGTTAACCATTGTGGGATTTTTAGGATTTGGAGTCGCAGATTTCATTACTGCATGTAGGTCCCTCATAAGGCTCAGTGTTCGAGCTGACTATGGGCTGGAAATCTACGGTTGGCCGGACCAGAAAGAGCTAGCAAAGGCTATTTTGAAACATAAATATTCTCTGGAAGACCTTGACCTCGACATTAGTATCCCGAGATTCCCTAACCCAGACCCTGTTTTGGAGGAAGCCTATTCACAAATGTTACGTATCCGGACTCTTGCGGTCCATATCACCGACCTTTTCGAAGGTTCCTGGTCCAGCGAAGATGAGAACTGCATTAAGATCGTCCTCGATCGAATACCTCAAACTACCCAGGTTCTCAAGCCCCGTTCCCACATGTTCATCGAAAGTTGGGTCTGCAGTAGTAATGACGTGTTCCTCGAGCCATACCTGGAGGGCATTATAGAATTACTCGAGAACGCTGGACCACAAGGGCAGTTTAGCGAGTTAAGAGTCCTAGATCTCTCGGAAGCATTTGTGGATGACCCGATTATGTTTGATATTAAGAGGGTTAAGCAATTGGCTACATCCCGAGGGGTCAAGCTTTTGTTGCATGATTGAACTACAGCCCGCACCTTGGAGAAATATAGAGATATTTTGAGATGATAATGAACACTTGGGCGCTTATATAATCCACTGTCTCTGCTACTTTTGCTTATGAATCTCGGGAAAATGTCAATCTAGAGGTTCGTCGCTTTCCATAGGATGTGATCCTCAACGCTGGACGCGCGTCTTGGCTGCACCTGTAAGCAGCCCTGGCATTCTCATGTGTCTCTGGCAATGGTGCCACGTATAGAATAGCGACCCGCAAGTTTGTCAAGATCGACCAATAGTACTCCAAAAGTCAGAAGGGATGTAACTCAGCTCTGCACCATACTCTGCACGACCTTTGAGGTCAGGTTACACATGTGCGTGGTTTGTTTCTTCAATTCCCCAGTTTATAAAGTGATGCAATTGGTAAACCCTGCCCCCGTGCTGTAATGCAACTTCAGATGGCTATAAGTATTGCCTATCGGGCTGGTACTTATCAGTTCACCTCCTGATTGATGCCGTCTAAATGGAAGCCTGTTATCACCCGTAACCCATCCACCTGAAGTCAAAGTTACCGTGGCAGGCAGCCAAGCCAATATGTCATTCAGCAGTCTCTGCAATATCTGCAGGGACGTGGACTTCCATGGCCTCTTCACGGGCCGTGATTACGCCAATTACCCCAATGGCTTCAACCCGTACCGGGCAGATCTCGACTCTCAGAAACAGGTCCCGAGGACATGGGGGCGTATCAGAATGCATGTGCGATGCTGTACCTTTTGCATGTTAACATTCCATCAGATACGGACTTTTCGGATGATGACACGCACCTCAAATCGTCTGAACGTACCCGACCCTTTCCCGGATGCAAGAGAAAATGAGATGGTGATTACGGCGGTCGAGATAGGAACAGGCATGTTTGACGGCGAGTTTACGCAGTGTATTGGCTTTCATAACGGTACATATCGGCATCCTAACCATGGTTCACTCATGATTCGTGGTCTTCAGCTGTGTTCTCCAAAGCGCTCTCCTAAAGCGGCTTGGGAGCACGCACGTCAAGTCAAGGAACAAGCCGAATCTAGTTCGGGACTTGAAGCAAACAAGAAATTGAACATAAAATTTAAGAGTTGTTTTGGCGGGCGACTCGTCGGTGCGGATATCGACTTCAAACTCTGTAAAACTTGGCTAGGTCTTTGCAATGAGCAGCACGAGGAGTGCAGGGAGTACAAACCAGTCGGCACGATGACTCGGCCAAACAGGCTTATCGATGTTCAGAGTAACTGTATTGTCTCTGGATCCTCTTCACTCGACGATTATGCTGCTTTGAGCTACGTCTGGGGTGGTGGTATACCTGGTACCCAGCTAACGACTTCCAACGAGCAAGAGCTTCAACAAACAGGGAGTCTCTCCGCACCAGGTATAATTTTAGGCCATACCATTACTGATGCCATGAAGTTTTGTCGTCAAATCGGTCTGCGCTTCCTGTGGGTCGATCAATTGTGCATCCCCCAAAAGCCGGGCCGGGCTCGGTCGACCCTGAGATCCACCACATGGCGTCAATCTACTCCGGTGCAACTTGTACTTTGGTTGCCTTGAGCGGCACTTCCTTTTGCGACCCTCTTCCGGGAGTCCAGCCGGGCACAAGGCAGCCAGAGACACAACACAAGGCTAGTATAAGGGGTTTGAGTATCATGACATGCTACCCATCGCTCTTCACGGAGATAGAGAGCTCAGTCTGGTTCAGCCGAGGCTGGACATTTCAAGAGGCGGCCTTCTCAAGACGAATATTCTTCTTCATGACGTCACAGACCTTCTTTCTGTGTCGCGAGACAATGTACTGTGAAGAAAGTGTCTGGGAAGTACTAGACGGTAGTTCTACGGCAGCTTCAGCAAACACCGAAACGACAGAGGCTGGGAGAGTAAAGGATCTGATGCTCCTCCGCTCAAATGGATCGTACCCAGAAGGGGGCTATTACAGGATTGTCGAAGAGTACACCAAGCGGACTCTGGGTCATCCTGAGGATATACTCAATGCGTGGGCTGCCGCGGTCCAGTGGATGGAGGAAGACAAGAAGTGGGGATCGACATGCAGTTTTGGTCTTCCCCTGGACCAGTTTGGGTTCGGGCTGGGATGGCAACCACTTCATGGCCATGACCCCCATCCTGATCACCAGCGAACTGACTTCCCCAGCTGGAGCTGGTCTAGTTTCCAGGGCCCAGTTGAATGGTGTATTGCAGTACGTTCCAGTACACGGACCTCTGGTGGTGGATGAGAAAGCGCCTGGGGTAGGTCAGGCATTGTCCAAGAGACAGACATCGACAAAGCGTTGCGTGAGAGATATAATAAAGATATCTCACCAGTTCGTATATTTCAGAGTCCTTTGGCGTCGCAAAATCCCATCCTGGAGTTCAAAACCTCAGCTACTCACATCACAGTCTCCAAAACGCCCGACGGCAGGATTGGACTGCCAAACTTTGACATGATAGGGAAAGACGGGTATTCGATTGGAAGTCTGCAGTGTGATCCTGGCTGGCGAGCGGAGCAATCAGATAAACTAGAGTTTATCGTCTTTGCCACTGCTAAACTGACGGATCCAGAGCCTCCTCAGTATTCGGGATATGCTGCCGGTTGTGGAACAAGCCGATATAATGCAAAGATGAGCGGTCGGTTGTTTTCCGATCAATACAGTTATGATGCCGCTGTCTCTCGGTGGCAGGATTTATGCTCAAAAGAGCGATTTGTGGTAGATTTAATGTGTATCTCCAGAGAAGATGACGGCCTCGCCAAGAGGGTTCAGGTTTTCCATGGAATATCCTTGGATCAGTGGCTGAGCCTAGATCCCAAGGAAGTGTCAGTCAGACTTGGATGATCACATAGTAAGGTTGGCACTTCCTCAATCGAAAGGCTACTATCGTGGCCATACATGTCATCCTCGATCTTGCCCTCATTCTTTGTCAATGCTATATGTGACTCAATAAAGCATATTTCACTCTCAACTTCGTTCAGATAGCGAATCACTATTCCATAAATCCCCCAGGAAGAGAGAGTTACCCGATGAAGCCATCACTGCAACGTTGGTGGGTCTGTTGGTTGGAACTGTTGCTGTGCCCGTGGCATGCATCGGAATACGTTACTGAACAAGGCAGTATTGTATGATACATATGAGGTTTTTCTCTTTTTTCCTGCATATCCGGAGCCGAAATCCGAGAGTCACCTGACTGTTCGTGGCTTTATTGCTGTCTTTTCTCAAGTAAACACCTTTCCTCAATTCACTGGCACTTAACAACTATCTGCTACCTCCTACCGGCAAACAGACGCATTGCATCATGTCTGCACCTACTCAAGAGCCACATGAGGCATTGGTATAAAGACACTGTGGTATTGACTGCGTTGAACGATGCTGACCTCTCTGAACAGGCCGCTGATACCTTTGACGATACTGACTCCACATTCTCTGGCGTAAGTTCAGCGGGCGCCAGACAGTACGCGCGATGTTGCACCTAGAAGTAGGACTAAACAGTCGCAGACCGATTCAGAAAGCCTCGAGTCACTTCGATCAAGCGTGTTACGCTTCCAAGAAGAAAATGGGAGAACATACCACGCCATGAGTTCCGGAAGTGAGTCGTTCTAATCGTCGTCTCTTTCATAACTAACATACGATCAAGAATACAACTTTCCCAACGACGCGTCTGAAATTGATCGCCTTGGTAAGTTCATAGGGACGCATTGATCTACATTCAGTGCTAAATCGTGGCATAGATCTTCAGCATAATCTCTGGCTACTCACCCTTCATGGAGAACTTGGCCTTAGCCCCAAGATCAAGGGGCCAGCTAAGCGAGTCATGGATGTTGGAACTGGGACTGGTATTTGGGCTATCGAATATGGTGCGTCAATTAAGCCAATAGTTGATCTATACGCTGACCATCTGATCCAGCCGATCTTCATCCTGAAGCTCAGGTATCACTCCTCTTTCTCTAAATCCGTTTATCTTGGCTGACTGTTTCAGGTCGTCGGCGTGGACCTGAGCCCTATCCAACCTTCATTGTATAACTTGCTCTCATGCTCAGAGTCCATATGGCTAAATTGTTCCATAGGGTCCCACCGAACTGTGCCTTTGAAATCGACGATCTTGAAAAAGAATGGATGTGGTCAGAGCCATTCGACTTTATCTTCTGCCGCGTCATGACAGGATCCTTCGCAGATATGGAGAAATTCGTTCAGAACGCCTATGAGTAAGTCAAGCTAAACTCAATGACCAATCCTCTCTTAACGTACGACAGTAATCTCGAACCTGGCGGCTATCTCGAGATGCAAGACCTAACTTACCCCATCGCCTGCGATGACGGAACTCTTCCCCCAGACTGCGAAGTCCTCCGCTCCGGTCTCCTCAGCATTGAAGCCAGCGCCAAAGCAGGACGAGCTATTAATCTTGCCCCCAAGTACAAGACCTTCCTGGAGAAGGCTGGTTTTGCTGATGTGGTGGAGAAGCAGTTCAAGTGGCCTATCAACGAATGGCCCAAGGATAAGCACTATAAAGAGCTGGGAAAGTGGTCTTATGCTAACATTAACAATGGCTTGGAGGGTCTGTTGCTTGGATTGTTCACAAGGTTCTTGGGCTGGAGCGCGGATGAGGTCCGCGTGTTCTGCGATGCGATGAGAAAACAGCTGCGCGATCGAAGTATTCATGCGTATATCCCGGTGTAAGTCCGTATTCACATTTGATACCACTGGCTATCTTCTGACATCGGTATTTATAGCTATGTGGTTTACGGAAGAAAACCACTGGAACAGTCTGAGGTCAAAGCCTAGCAGTATCAGCTACCTGCTCACAATATGCACCACGTTCATGTCCTTAAGCATAGCCTAAAGTAGTATTTCTCGTTTCCATAAATTTCGTTTTGCCAAATCTCGTAACAGCTCGGCGCATACGTCATAAAGACGCTGAAAGCTTTTCCATCATATTCTCCACGTTCTCAAGCAAACGACTAGTCCAAGTTACCCAGCTTCCTGGAAAAGTCGATGGTCTCTGTAATTCCCTTCTCGAGGCTGATCCAGTCCCTACCAGCCCACTTCTGCAGCAGTTCAGGCGCAATATCGTTCTCAATATTGTAGCTCAGAACAGGGTCGCCAGGTACAAAGTCTTCTTCAAAATCTTCCTCAGGATATGCTTTACGCATGATAGCCAGAGCGTTGTTCCAGTTGAAAGACTCGGCTAGTGCGGGAATGCGAGCGCCTTTGACATCTGGGTCGATAGCCGCCACGACATAAATGACAGCTGCATCGGAGACGTGAGTGTAATAGACTATCTGGTCAGCCTTCTGAGACTCTTAGTCATGTCTCTGTCAACTTACTCGTTGTGTTGTCCTTCAGGGCATCTGTCTTGCCAAGGTATAGTTGCTGCAAGAGCTGAGTAGGCATAGGCCCATAGTGTCTCGCATCCAGCGGATCGCCTAGAATCCAGCAAGGACTAACAGAATTGAGCTCCCATGGGACATTCTCGTCTTTCGCGAACTTCCATACTGCCTTCTCCGCTTCAACTCTGGCACCCAGGTAAACTGGAAGGATACGGCTCAACTCATACGGTGGTGGCGCCTGTGCGACTTTGACTAAATCATCGTTCCACGTATCCTGTCCAACAGTCTTTGTCTCCCCAGGCTTAGGCCAGACTGATGACCATAATCCAGCTGCCACCACAAATCGCTTGACTGACGCCTCCTTGGCAGCAGATCGGCACACGGTCAAAGCAGCCTCAATAGCTGATGCGAAACCGACATTCGGATCTGGCGTATAATCGCCGATATTGGCGAGGTGAATAATAGCCGAGACACCTTTCACCGCCTCATCGAAATCTCCTGGCTTCGATGTGTTTGCGACAACCAATTCCACCTTGCCTTCGTCTGCGTGTGGCTTCACGGCTGGGTGCTCGAGCAGCCACTTGCTGTATGAGAGATCTCTCACAGTCCCGCGCACTTTGAAGCCCTGCTTCAGAAGCTCTATGACCACATGGCTGCCGGTGTAACAATTCGCTCCCGTCACGAGGACCCATGAGCCTCGGGGAATAGCCGTCGGTAAATTGCTCATGTTGACTAGCGCTATTTCGTGCGAATTACCTCAGTTGTATGGTACGCTCAGAGCTAGGAAAGTGTGAAAACTGGTAGAAGGTGGTCATAAGAGAGATACAATGTATAATCTGATCAACGTCAGAATCAAATCGAGGAATAAGATGAAGATGGGACGATATATGGAGCATCGATCCCCGCCTTCTTAGCGTGAACCCGGAATTATCCAGCTTCCGCTGTCGCTAGCTTGCGGTGAGCCTGAAATCTAAATGAAGCAATCGCTTCCGATTCATTAGGCCGAGACTAAAGATTTAGCGATGATGCGGATGCGGATGACGGAATTTTGGGTTGTAGCCGCAGGGCGCAGCTACCAGCCATGACTATATTTTACTGAGTAGAACCATAACAAGAGCATCAGTAATATCCAAATACTCTTGCTGTAGATTCTTCTCTTGGTTTATACTGATCAATGCATTTTTTTTCTGACTCTACCTTGGTTGAATCATTAGCTCAAAGTTCACGATAAAATCGATTGGCGTCAAGGATTATTGCGATCGGCTAGCTAGCTTCGTGTTAGTAGCATGTTTGTGGCCACTCAGGATCCAGTTTCCGCTACCCGACTTCCCGGGTCATCTATCCCGGAAGCTTGGTCTCATAAATAATAGGCTAATGCTCCCGGAAAATCTCGTTCCAGTGGGTTACTTGATGCAATGGTTCGTTGTGACAAATGCTTTCCAGGGTCTTGTAAGCTCGGTTAGCATCTTGCGTGTGTTATGGAGATTCGGGCTATTATCCGGATAAATTGACGGCCTGACTCATCTGGGTACATGTGAGTGAGATGATCTAGGGTAGCTTGAGAATTTATCAACGTCAATGCATTGCACAGGACAGTATATAGCTTGAAGTCTTCCAATGTGAACTATTATCTACATAAGCCTTCATATTTTCCCTTCTCTGCTCAGGTACATCAAGTTCGATATCTGCCTCGGGTTTCGTGATGACCGCTGTTTCTCCCTACGAGGGATTCCATCAAAGTTTCTAAATGTTCATGCTCAACTTCCGAACCCATCAATGGAACATTCTACGATAGCTGATACTAACGAATCAATCCTTTACGAACGGCAGTTTTCCCGTCTTCGCACAACAATCATCGAGCGCGACGATACTGTGACTCTAGAGAAATACCTAAAAAACGCACCATGGGCTGTCAAGACAGGTCGTGCTCTCGGAATGTACTATGATCCATTCATTGTGGCAGCTAGACCTGGAAGCCTCGATGGTCGTTGCTGTCGAGTGTTGAACACAGCAGCTCATTGTGGCCATCTCGAGGTAGTCAAGCGTCTGCTCGATCACCCTCTTCTCCAGGCTGATATCCACCATAACAATAATGGTTTCACTCCGATTATGATAGCTGCCTATGCTTCTTATTGAAAGGATAATCTTGAGAAGAAAGAAGCAGTCATCAATTTCTTGCTCGATCGAGGTGCCCGCGCCTCCGACGCAGAATACACATGGGACTACTGTCTTGATCCCATAACCGGAGAGTCTACCCACAAGCAGGTGCCCGCTTTTATGACCTTAACCTTGCTGCAGAGTGGGCTGGCGCCGATTTGATCCGGCGGCTCATTGAGAGTGGCGCTGATCCTCATGTCAAGATAATGGAGGATAAAGAATTCACAGTTCGCACTGATGTGACGATCATTTCTACCGCAAGTCGATGTGCGAACGTTGATACTCTCAAAGTCTTGCTTGAATGCGCAAGCAAAGTAGGTGTGTGGCAGACGCAGTGTCTTGTCGCGATAGCTGGGGAAGTATGCCACTTCACTGGGCTTGTCAAGTCTCGAAGGTTGAAGATCCTCGTGAGGTTACTGCAGAATTCATGGAGGAGAAGGTGCAACGAGTTGTCACAGTTCTTGGTCTGTTGCTAGAATGTAGCCCGGAAACGATCAATACGCAGGATCAGTACGGAAATACGCCTCTACGCTATGCAGCCAAGAACTACAGCAATTACGGACAAGAGCATACAGCCGTCTTTCAGTACCTCTGTGACAGAGGTGCTGATTCGTGTATGCTCAACAAAAATGGCGAGACAGCATTGCACAGCTCATGTTCTTGCGATGGAGGACTACCGGTTGATACAGCCGCGATTGAAACTTTACTCGACCATGGAGCAAAATTTACAGATACAGACAATGACGGCGATACGCCACTACACTTGGCGGTCAAGAACCTAGAGAATATTGAAGTCATCACTTCTCTGCTCGATCATGGTGCAGACATACGTGTAAAGAACTTGAAAGGAAACACGCCACTACACGAAGCCGCGAGCGGAATGTTCTGGCCTGGAGTAGTCGAAGAAAAGTACAAAAGCATGGGAGATATACTTCGGAGGCTTCAAGGCGATGGAGGATATCTGATGGATGAGCTGAATGAAGAGGGACAATCCCCTCGACAGATTCAAAATGGAAGAAGGAAGGACTTCAGAGAGAAAGTGGATGATGTTGAAAATGAAAGGAAGCGGTGGGGATTTTGAACGAGGAAAAGTCAGAGTGAGATAACATCTTGGCCAGACTTCGTGACAGGTTGGTCTCAAGGATAGACAATCTGGTATTTGCATATGGAGGCTAGAACTATTCCATACGGAGGCTTCCATTCTCATCACCTATTTTCTCTTCTCACCAGAAGGAGGGGAGGACTGTACTATAGCGAGCGGGTTGCTCGTTGGGCATAAATGAGGGGTAATAAGACATGATGCAGCCATAATGCAGCCATGGCATCGCTTGGCCCAATCAATATCCATCATTGACAACTGACCTGACTTTCAGCCAGCCACTATAGGTACACCGAAGCGGTTGAAAAAGCGTCGCAATGGTGGCCGTTTATGGCTGTCACGATATCTTAACATGCTGCGTTGATGATTGGCACCAGGGCAGTCGATCAGCAATAGCCACCTACATGGTACTCGCCTCACTTCGCACACTGGCCAATTAATCTCGTCGCCCAAAAGCTAAGCGCCGTGGAGCTTTCGACCTGAATTCCGTAACGTATTTTATGCAACCCTCAATCTTATTTTCTTGCATCTTTCTCGGCTTCGCCATTCAACCAAAAAGATGTCCGAAGGTAACGCCGCGTTCGAATTGGAGGAGTATACGGTCGGTTGGGTTTGCGCCATTCCATTAGAAATGGCCGCTGCTAGAGGAATGCTTGACAAGATTCATCCAGACCTGTCTCAGCAGGACCCCGACGACCATAACAGCTATATTCTAGGTGAAATATGTGGTCACAAAATTGTTATTGCGTGCCTGCCAGCTGGCATTCATGGAACCAATCCTGCAGCTACTGTCGCCAAAGACCTATTACGAACTTTTAAGTCCATCCGTTTCGGTTTGATGGTTGGAATCGGAGGTGGAGCACCATCGCTACAGCACGATATCCGATTAGGTGATGTGGTGGTAGGCCAGCCTTCAGGAACCCTTGGAGGAGTCGTACAGCATGATCGAGGCAAGATCTTACCGCAAGGCGGATTTCAACGAACGGGCTCCCTGAATGCGCCTCCTCAACTTCTTCTATCCGCTTTGGCTCGTCTTCAGGCAACTCACATGACTGAAGATAGTCGTGTTCCCGAGTATCTGGCTCAGCTTGTCGCAAAGAGTCCTAAAAGAATGAAGGGCAAATTCAGCTACCCGGGTACATTGAATGATCGCCTTTATAAGGCAGGCTATGAGCATGCCAATCCGGGAAGTGCAACCTGTGGCCAATGCGATGAATCCAAGCGCATTAAGAGAGAAACTCGAGATGATAACGAGCCATATTTCCACTACGGCATAATTGCTTCCGGAAACCACCTGATTAAGGATGGCAAAACGCGAAAACGTCTAAGCCAAGCATATGGAGCATTGTGCTTTGAGATGGAAGCTGCAGGGCTTCACAACTTTCCATGCCTTGTTATTCGGGGCATCTGCGACTATGCAGACTCTCATAAGAACGATGTTTGGCAAGAGTATGCCGCTGCGACGGCGGCGGCATTTGCTAAGGAGCTGTTGCTATTCGTAGCACCAAGCCAGGTCCTTCAGGAGAATAAGATACTTTCGGACCTTGTTTCTAGTGAGTTTGATAGTTCTATCACTCCGTATTTGAGACCACGAGTCACTTCTTACACCTTTCGATTTTTTATTTGAGCTTGGGGCTTGCATTACAATTTCTGACAAATATCAGTCGTCAAGGGCAGCCTAGAAGTCTCAATACATAGTCTCACTGAACAAAGATCCATCAAGTACGTAGCACCTCCCATTGATGGTATTTTACTAACTTGAGAGAGACGGATGCTAGAGAATCGACCTATGGATCTGTATGTAGCCCACAGCGCTCGCTACGACAGTCAGGACGTTAAAGAGAGTCCAAGATGCCAAACTGGCACCCGCGTTCGCATTCTGGAATCAATAGAACAGTGGGCAGCTCAACCACTCTGTTCATCTATCTTCTGGCTTATCGGTCCTGCAGGAACTGGTAAATCTACCATTGCTAGGAGTGTTACTGATTCCTTTGCAAGGAAAGACCGCTTAGCTGCTGGATATTTCTTTAAACGAGGCGAACAGGACAGGAATGATACTAACCGGCTATTCTCCACGCTAGCGATGCAACTGGCGGATACAGTTTCCTCCTTCAAAGAGAGCCTTCGGAAATCACTGGAAGGTCTCGATAAGGACGCAGTGGAGAAAACCAACCTCGATACCCAATTCCAAAAGCTCCTATGGTGGCCACTCGAAAATCTACAAGTCAGCGATGCAAGCGGTTTGCCAAAAGTCATCACAATTGATGCTCTGGACGAGTGTGAGAGACCTGAGCATCTAGTACGGGTCTTGGAACTGTTAGCCAGGCTTTGCACTATTTCCACACTCCAGTTACGTGTCTTGATTACTAGCAGGTCTGCCCCCGACATTGTTGAAGCTCTCGACTCTCACTTGCAGGACGGAACTGCCCGTACCTTGGAAATCCAAAGGGAGTTCCCTGAGGATACCAAGTTGGACATTCAAAACTTTCTGCAGTCAAGTTTTGAGGAAATCAAGAACAAAAGAAGGGTACAAAAAGAACCATGGCCTACTACCGAGGACTTAAATCGCCTTGTTCAGCTCTCTACCACTCCCGAGCCTTTGTTCATCTATGCCGCAACCTTATGTCGATTCGTCTCAGATAAACAACAGGGACCGATTCGGCAACTGATTATCTGGCTGGAACATGGGAGTCACTCGCAACTCCACCAGATATACACTCCTATCCTTGATCAAGCGTTCTTAGGCTTTGGGGAAGTGGAGTTTAGTCAAAAGCTGCGATTTCTCGGTGCCATCACAGTTATTGCCAGGCCGCTCTCCGCCAAATCTCTTGCTACAATACTTGCTATAGACTTGGACGATGTGAGCTGGTGGGTTTCAAGGCTGTATGCAGTTTTGCATGTGCCGCCTGTGCTTGACAAGCCCATACATCTCCTTCATAAATCCTTTGCCGATTTCCTCGCCACTTCTGACGATTCCGACGCTGCCAAGTATGGGATAGATGTAGCAGGTATGCATGCCAACCTAGCTAACAGATGTATTCAGTGTATGAAGGAGGGACTGAAGCAAGACATATGCAAAATTCAGAAACCAGCAGTGCTGAGAAAGGATATTGACAAAAGTATAATCGGTAGCAGTATCCATGAACATCTCGAGTATGCCTGCATCAATTGGTTCTATCATGTGGAGCTCAGCGGAAGGCCGCTCTGCACTTTTCCATACACTTTTCTTTTTAGCCATTTGCTTCATTGGGTTGAAGTCCTGACACTCTTAGGACGGCTTCTGGAGTGTATAGGTCTGTTAGATAGGCTTTTGAAAGCGAGTGAGGTTCGTAACTCATACTTGCATCATGTCCCTGAGCTGATTATTATAGACATGCAAGGACGATATCCTGCCGGATTTTGTACTCCTCCTCAGAGATGCAAAGAGAGTCTTATCAGCATTCGGTTCAACTATCGACCTCTATCCTCTCCAGATCTACGGATCGCTACTCTTCTTCTCTCCCACAGCAAGCACAACCCGTCAGAGATTTTGGGACCAGCGCATACCCAAAACCGGTCGGATTCAAGGTGTGGAGTCCAAATGGACCGCAAGCCTCCAGACCTTCGAGAATCCTGATGGAATCCTCATTCTGCTTTCTTTCTCGCCGGATGCCCAAATCTTGGCATCTGTAGTCCGTAAACACTCGGGCCTTTCTGTGATTCAACTTCGCAACATCATCAGTGGTACATATGAATTCACCTTCGAACTGAACAAGGGTGTGAATGAGGTGTATTGGAATCTAATGGCCTTTTCATCGGATAGCTGCCTGCTTCTGTCTGACCAATGTGATGGAAATTTCGGGATCTGGGATGTGAGAAGTGGCCAGGTCCAGCAAATATCTACAGGTCGTTGCAGTCCAGTTTTAGCAGTCAACTTTGCACCACATTCAAACCATCTATCATGCCTATCAAAAGATGGGAGGTTACAGTATTGGGAAAACGTGAAAGGTATCTATCAAGAGAAACATTTAGGGATTAATGTTCTTAATGGAACTTCCGACAAAGGACTGCAAATTCTCCGAGCGACATTTTCTCGCAGCTCGCAGCTGTTAGCGTTTCAAAAGCAGCCGACTGAAATCGAGGTCTGGGACTTAAAGACTGGCGCTCAAACGCTGGTGCTGAGTACAAAGACACATTTCATCTACTGTTACATCATGGAATTCTCAGCAGACAGTCAGAGCCTTGCATTGGCGGGCCATAATGTACTGACTGTTTGGGATCTGGAAACAGGCGCGAAGAAGCTGTCCCTAGAACACCAGATGATGATAGACAGTATCGCTTTCTCACCTACCGGGAGAATGATAGCATCGGGAAGCGGGGAACTGATTCAACTATGGGATTTAGACACTGGTATTTGTAAGACTACCTTGATGGACGATGGACATTACGGTGTGACAGCACTAGCCTTTTCTAGAGACGGCTCAAATCTAGCATCACCTCACCGACTTTGGGATCTTACCCAGCGACAAGAACTTCAAATTCATGACGGTAGGAGCCCTGCTATTGGTAGAATAGTATGGTCGCTAGATGGCCGGCTTCTCGCATCACCTTCCAAGGACGGTACGATTCAAGTTCAGGACGCAGAAACACTCATGCCTCGATGGAAGTTAACAGGCCACACAAAAACGGCCGCCGGAAATGCCTTCGAACTATTATTCTCAGATGAAAGCAGCCTCCTGGCCTCTTTACATTCTGATCATATACTGAAGGTCTGGGACATGCGCTCTGGCACTGAGTGTACTGCTAAGCGGAGCTCAGTTTCACAGGTGAACTACTCAGAAGATGGCTTGATCTTGGCAACAACCATGCCACAGTCTCATATCGTGAATATATGGGAAGCGGAAACTAGCATCCACCTGCATACACTCAACGTTCCTAAAGATGACGATAGTTGGGCCTCTGATCTTTCGACGGTCTTTTCACCTGATGGCCGCATCCTAGTTACCTATGGAGTTAAAGATTCGCCCATATTATGGGATACATCTACAAGCAAGCAAGGACAGAAGCTCCCAGTATCTAAGCCTGTCATCGAAGTTATCTTCTCCCATGACAGCCGGCTTATTGCATCAATCGAGGGCTTTCGCGTTTCTATATCGCGTTTAAGTGCCTGCCAACGACCGTTACATATTCTTGAAACTCAGCCCCGAAAAGGAGCCTTCTCGTCCGATAATAAGCTACTAGTTATAAGTGGTATACACGAGGAATTCGGTATATGGGATATTGAAACGGGCTCTAAGATACTCGAAGTTGAAAGCAGCGACAGCAGTTGCGAAGCCATGTGTCTCTCGCCCAATACCCAATTTATAGCATTTGCATCGACACGCTCGACAAGACCAGAAGATGGGAGGATTCGATTATGGAATATAGCTTCGCAACCCCCTAAGAGCCTCACCTTGAATCATCAAGAGATTGTATCAACAATGGTATTCTCGTCGGATGGGCGAGTCTTGGCGATGGCATCCGGACAGAATGTGATTTGGCTCTGGAATGTGACATCAGGTATTTTGATAAGAAAGATCCTATGCCAGGAAGTGTTCATCAAGAGAATCAGCTTTTCATCCGATGAACTTCTTGTTTCGGTCTCAAAGTATAGGTCTCCTGCCTTCTTTAACGTCTGGGATAATATGGCCTTGCAAGTCCACAGGTATCAAATCACCAGCTCTACTGGAAAAGATCTACCAAAGCTGATTGCGGGCAACATTGGGCTCACCTATGATGAAAACTGGATAGCTCGAAGCTCTGAAAATCTTATTTGGGTACCACGACAATACAGGCCTCCGAGGGCAGATTTCTCTGGACGTTGGGTCAGTAGGGACTCTACGATTATCATCGGTATTCGCTCGGGCCATTTGATTAGATTTCAAATCGTGTAGCATTTTTAGGAACTATTTAGAAAATTGGCCAATCAATATATATTGTACTTACGGTCCATAGCTGTCCATTGAGCCAAAATAAATAGTTGACAGAACGTCAAAGAGCTCCCTTAGTAGATTCTGACTGACCTTTCATGATAACTCGGGTGTAACGCAATTGAGACAATGATATCATGGGAGCTTCTCCTAGTGATCGAACAAATCACAGCCTATATTGAAAAAAAGGAAGAGAGACTTTCTGCATGACCCAGCGACATAGAACTTGTATTCTGGGCTTATAGACCACACAACCCTTTAATAGGAATACGTCTCATTGTTTCCTTAACAGGGAGAACATGTTTATGCAAGACAAGATATCAACATGCCTATCGTATAGGCATACAAAGGGCCAGAGTGGAAGGAAATCGAGGCTCTTGGTATTTTGATGCTATGCATTATGAACCCGTACAATATGAGACTAAATTTCGCCACTGGAACTCTACAAAGCTACCTACCATCACTGGTATATCATTCAGGCTTCGTAGCATATACCGACCAGCTGTTTCGCTATTAGTATGCACTTTTCTCTTTAATTGCACACTTACATCGGCCAATATGAATGAATATTAACATTCTTGATATCCTTTCGCACATCAGTCAGGAAAACCTCGACTTCTTCTTTACTCCAGCCAAGTCCACCCTGACCGTCAGGGCGTGTGAAGACAGCGAGACTCAAAGCCGCCAACGCATCTAGAGTGTTCTGCTGGGCCCAGACACCTGTAAACACCTTAAGCAGCTACTCGTAGGATGTTATTCAAGGGGCTAACTGACCAATCTGCTTATGCTTGGGATCCTTGGGCCACCTGTTCAAAGGCCACTTGCGCTTGACAATATTGACATCTGCAAAGCCCGCTGCCTCAAGTTGATCTTTATACTTCAACGCACTATCCATGGGTCGACCATTCTTGGTGAAGATGTCGTGTAGGAGGTCTGACCACTTGCACAGTGCTGAGTCTTTTGTCAGAGTGCCATCGTCGGAGAGGAGAGGGTAGATGATGTCGATCATCTCTATTCTGCCTCCAGGATTGAGGTTCCTGTTGATGCGTATTAGACTATTGCCCAGGAGAAGGGAGAGGGAATGGCGTACTTGTAGCTTTCGCTGAAGAACTTGGGCCAATCGAGGATGGAGCCTGTAAGAAAGCGAGCAAAGACAAAGTCAAACTTGTCGGAGTACTCCCATGGCTCTTCTAGATCATCTACGTAGAAGGCGGCGTTGGGTGGAACGCTTTGGAAACGTCAGCAAGCCCCGTCACCACGGAAATGGAATCATACGCCGAAGGCTGAATTGGACTCAAGTCGACGCCAATGACCTAAAAAGTCAGTATTAGTCTCCCAAGTCATCACCATAAAACGGACCTCGCACCCGGGATGCTCATCAGCTGTCCATTTTGTTAACGCCATGCTGATCGTTGTGTAGTTTGTAGAACTCACCAAACTCTATGGCCCAGATTCCGGTGCCGCAGCCTGCATCAAAAGCGCGGTTGAGCGTCTTAGGCAAGGGGGCCGCGTGCAGTCTTTCGTCGAAAGTGAGCAGAAAGAGATGATGTTGAAGATCTGTCGCGTTAGAAAGGGAAGAAAGGAGGGACGGTATGAATACCTAATCTTTCGTTTTCAATCTATATCAGGTCAGCACCAATTACTAAGTAAAAGAAAAAGGCCTACGTCGTCATTTGGAAGCGCATAAGCTAGGTCAATTAGCTCATCTCCTTGTCGCATTTTTTGCACTCCTCAGGTCTCACCTCCGTCCTTATAAGCGTGATAAGTCCTGCCATTTTCCTCACGGTATCTCAGAATACTCGATCTTAGAGATGTAGTATCACTAGCATTGTCCTGAAACACGTCAACTACTGCGATCTTCCTGAAGATATCCACTTACGTCTCCAACGGCGGAGTCAGCATCGGTGTCGTCCTGAGCCGCCTGTCCAATCGGTTAGCCGCATGCAATAAGACTTCAGCCATAGTAGATGCATACATGCTCATCAACAGCAAGGGGGTCCTCGTCCGCACACATCGTCAAGGGTTCGATTTAGGGTTTGGGGTGACGTTAGATCGAAATGGCGGTCGGTATGAGTGGGGTTTCAAGACGGATGAGATGTCACCAGTCACGTGTGATAAGATCACATTCCAGTCAGTAGTATCACGATAACATCAAGACTATCCCTTAGGGAGCAAGAAAACACCAGACCTTAACATAAGTTGTCAAAATAATTTAAAAAAAGAAAGGCACCCTAAGTTTCTACTAAATTTAGTCTCAACTTATGCTAACTTAACCAGGTCTTTTTGTCATTTAGGGTCGAGGTTCCTGAGATTTCTTTCCTCCCCAAGCTAGCATCATAACGGCTAGACCAGTAACACAACACCCCTGTCCATATCCAAGGCCCAGAGCGGGGTTTTGAGTGATATTGTCAGAACCAACACGCAAATCAACGATCAATAAACCAATCACTATCCATTGTCTGTGCCCAGCATGTCTCACGCCGAGAAAACGCAATACGATTCGTTCGCTCCCAAGTATGCTTCTGTGGAGGAGTTGCCCTGTTCGAAACTGGAGGGGCAGCTTGTGAGGAATGCTTTGGGGGATTGTACGGGCTTGAAGGTACTGGATCTTGGCGGTGGAAGTGGACTTCATGCAAGAAGAGCGATTGATGCTGGGGCAATTGTTGTTGATGATGTTGACATTTCACCTGAGATGATGAAAGCGGGCGAGGAGATCGAGAATAGCCTCGGTCGAAAGGATCGCATTCGCTGGTTCGCGGCTGATGTCACCAAACCCGTCACGGAGCAAGCCAAGTTGGAGGAGGGCTACGATATCGTCATGGCCAATTGGGTTTTCGATCATGCTACCTCTGTTTCAGAGCTGAGAAGCATGTACGAGAATGTTGTCAAGAATCTGAAGCCTGGTGGCAAGTTTATCGGCGTGAGGTCAAAGAGCATTCGCGCCAAGTACATGAGCCATGGTCAAGGCAAATACGGTGTTACCTTTACCGATGTCACGGAAATCCCGGGTGGACTGAAGTACCAGGTCAATTGTGTGACTGAGCCGCCATTCTCGTTTGAGGCTACTTCAATGGAATCGACTTTCTCGCTCTCTGATGACATAGGAAAGGAACTCGGGCTGGTTGATATACATGTTGCCCCAGCCGAAGAAACGGAGCTTGTCAAGAATAATCACGAGTTCTGGGAGGATTACCTCAGGGACCCCAACTTTGTCGTTGTAGTGGCGAACAAGGCATGAAGAACACTTCGATTGGAAATAGCCTACTGTAAATAATTACCCAGTCCTGAAAACACCAGGGCTTGATATGTGGCGTCAAAATGAAATCAGCAAAAGATGTCCTAAATTGAGGCTAAACTTATGCTAAGTCGCCTGAATCTTTTTAACATATAGGATTAAGATCCTAAGCTTTTTTCCCTCCCCTAGTCACTGTTCCCCATGAACGGAAATGTTATCCTTTGGTTCTTCTCCACGACAGCCTGCAAATACAATACAATCAGCTCTTCAATTCCTTCCTTCCTCGCTTGCTCAATCCAATCGTCCAAATCCAGTTCCCGAAACTCGTCTTCATACGTCTTTTGCATGTATGATGCGAAATCTGTAGGCGGTACCTTGACACCACTTGAGTAATGCTTGAACGTCACGCCCGAGTGACTCTGTTGCGAGGATATGACATACTCGGCAAAAGAGTTGGCGACGTCTGTGACAGGGAGGAAGTCAAAGAAGCCCGCGACATTCAAGCTCGATACACGCGGTACAGCCTTTATAAGCTTGGAGTATCGAAGCAGAGCGTTGAGTGCATCCTCAATAGGAGCCTCGTCACCCACAATTGCACAATGCCGGTGAATTGAGACAGGCAGATCCTTCTCTGTATTGGCTGCTGCTGCTTCGGATAGTTTTTCTAGGAACACTTCGCCTGCCCATTTCGCTGCTGTGAACCCCTCTGATCCATCTGTAGGCGGTGAATGGTCTTTAACGCTGACTGGCGGAAGGGCAGCCTCGGCGCTGGAGTCAAGCAGCGTAACACGGTTCGATGAGATGTAATGGATAGGAATTTGGCGACTAAGGGCGAAGAGACCCAGCTGTCGCGTCGACTCCACGTTGGGTGCACGAAGGGTTGAATAATTGTTGAGACAATGGCCTTGCGATCCTGCGAGGATTATACTGTCGACAATTGCTTGAAGGTGCTGCCACGTTTCTCTCTTGAGTCCCAGCATGGGCTCACTCAGGCTACCAGAATAAACTGTGACGCGATCGCCCTTGAGGTGACTGGCCTCAGAGTCTGGGTCAACAGCGATGCAGTGGATGCGTGCGACTGACGGTCGGCTTAAGAGATACTGGAGGATCTGTTTCCCCATGAATGATGTTGAACCAGTCATGAGAATCTCAAGCTCAGATGCTGTCTTGACTGGAGTTACGTCGTGAGAATAACTCAAGTCGATGGACCTAGGTAAAGCTGTCTCGGCCTCCCAGTCAATGGTCTCAGGCAAATAGTCAGAGCTCTTCTGCTGTGCAACCAGACCCGCCATGCCAGCCAATGTACTGGCCCGGTACATGTCGCTGAGAGGCAGTGTGATGCCCATTGAGATCTCAATTGCACTCCGTAGTCTGACAAGAAGCAGTGAATTGCCTCCAACGTGGAAGAAATCCGTGTCTGGCTCAAGCCTCGCATTGTTGAAAAGACCCGCCTGAGATAGTACATTGTGCCAAATGAGTCTCAATTCTCCTTCAACAAGCGTTGGCTTCCTGTCTGACGCTGCTTTAGAAGGGCCAGAGGGTGTAGGTAATGCAGGGAGAGGGAGGGCTGCAATAGCACGGCGATCAACCTTTCCACTGCTATTCAACGGCAGCTTCTCCAACTCAATGATCAATGCAGGTCTCATGTACTGAGGAAGTGGTAAGGTATTGGCCAACTCCTGCAATCCGGAGGCGTCCATAGAAGCCCCGGCAGTCAGCACAACATGCGCCACGAGGAAAGCTGGATCACCACGAACAGTGACAACAACATCCGCGAGAGAACCCTCGAACTGCTGCAGCATGACGTTGGCGACATCATCAAGATCGACGCGCAGCCCACGAAGCTTGACAGTTGTATCACCGTCCATACGGCCCATGAACTGGAGACCGCCATCAGCACGGATGAGACCCTTGTCTCCAGTACGATACATCGTAGTCCACCCCTTTTCAGTATGCTCAGATGTTGCAAACAGGTTTGGAACAAACTTATGTGAAGTTGACTTCTCGTCGAGATAACTGAGCGCAACGCCAATGCCACCAACGCAGATCTCACCAGGGAGTCCCTGGGGAACGATGTGTCCACTTTCATCGAGGATGTAGATGGAAGTGTTAGGGTTTACTGGACCAACAATCGAGTAAGCGCTGTCGTCTCCAAAGTCATCGAGTTCAATTGTCTTCATGGTGGCGCAGCATGAGATCTCTGTTGGCCCGTAGCAATCGGTGAGAGTTGGAGGGTGTTGCAACGTCTTGAAAGCCGCCTTCAGCTGGGCAGTGACGGCTTCACCACCAGAAGTCGCGTTTCGCCAAGAGTGCAATGCCTTCACGGCTTGACCTCCATGTCGAGTGAGCATGAGATACTCGGTCGGGGTTCCCAACGTGAAAGTGACTCCCTCGTCAGTCATGAGCTTACCCAGAGCGAGAGGGTCACCTCGACTTGTACTGGGAGCTACCACAAGAGTACCGCCTAGTGCAAGGGCTATGAAGGCTTCAGCAAGGGACATGTCGAAGCCAAGAGCACTCTGCTGAAGCACAGTCTCTTGGCCGAGAGAGAGCCTCGAGCTTTTGGTGGCGATATAGTTGATGATTCCTCTTGAAGAGAGTCGAATACCTTTCGGTGTGCCTGTCGACCCACTTGTGAAAAGGATGAAGGTCGTGTCATTGATGCGCTCTAGGTTTGGTGCCGCAATGGTCTTGGTCGGGTCAGGTATCTCTGTCACGGAAAGGATGGGCGTCCCAACAGAGATGCCATGAGCGCGCTCCTCAGTGGAGTCTTCACAGAGTATCAGACCCGGTCCAACAACATCGAGAATGACCTTGAGGCGCTCATCAGGTAATTTCGTATCCAATGGAACGTAGATGCAACCCGATCGAATGATCGCCAACATGGAAATGACCCAACATGCGGTCGGCTCGCAGAGAACAGCCACTGTTGAACCCGGCTGGAGCTGAGACTGAATACCTGAGGCAAGGCTATTGATTCTGACGGCAAGTTCTTTGTAGGTCAGCTGACCATCGACATCTTTGACAGCGACAACTTGAGAGTTCCTCTGAATGACCTCATCCACCTTCTCCATTAGAGTTGAGGGCCATTTGTAGTTCACCATCTCCCCGTACCCGAGCACTAGTGCCTTGTCGATATCGGCTTGGTCATAAAGGTTGATGGTCTCCAAAGCCTTGCTTGCATCTCTTGATGCATCGCGCAGCAACGCCAGATATGTAGATAAAAGATTATCTGTCCCCTGCCTTGTATACAAGTCTTCTCTTGCAACAACTTGTACATACGTCGTATTGTCATTTGGTGTAACGCTAAAAGCAAGATCGTAGGGACTCTGCGCATCATAGCCTTCCTTGAACTCCAGGGCGCTTCCACCAAGTGGGATCTTGGAGAAGTTTCCTTGCCGATAGTTCATGGCGACTTGGAAGAGCGGTGTACTGGTTGACTCTCGAGGGACGTTCGCCTTGTCGAGAATGACATCAAAAGGAACTCCCATGTTGGCTTGTGCTGTTCGATAGTGCTGGGCTGTCTTCTTGACAAGGTCTGAGAATCTCGTATCCCTCTGAACGTTGAAGCGGAGGGGTAGCAAGTTCAGGAAGAAGCCGATGGTCTTTAAGCTACTTTCACCGCGGTTCGCGTCGGTGACACCGATGCAGATATCTTCGATGCTGAGAAGTCGGTTGAAGAGAGTCTGTAGAGCAGCCAGGTAGAAGTAGAAAGGCGTGATGCGTAGAGACTGGCTTGCCCGCTTGATCTGCTCCGAAAGTTCATCGCCAATGTCGATGAGAGACTCAACGTTACGATAAGTCTTCGGAATGGGCCGTGACTTGGCGCGAGCGAATGGGAATAGTGGAAGAGTGTCTGCAGGTGGTGAGTGCAACTTGGCCCAGTAAGAGATCCTGTCGTCCATCTGGCCACTCTCAATCGCTCTTCGCTCCTCGACTGAGATGTCCATGTACTGCTTCGGTAACAAATCGAGCTTGTGTCCCATGTATACGGCGTTGAGATCTCGCAGTAAGAGATGCATGCTCACGCCATCCATGGCAATGTGATGATACGCGATGATGAGAGAGTGCTCTTCAGGTCCATGACTGACAAGTATAACCCTGAGAACATCTCCGTCAGACAGTTGCCAAACATGGTTTCGCCAAGTCTTAGTTTCATGCTCCAAAGCGTGACCATCTTCATCTTTGACATGTTTGAAACAGTCTCTCGCTGAAGCAAGGAGTCCTTGAACAGGCTCACCACTTCCCGGTCGGGTAAAGAAGCATGTTCTCAACGAGTCGTGGTGATTTACAACAGTGCATACGGCCCTCTTCAGTCGTGCAATCTGGATGTTTCCCGTGACTTTGTAAATATAGACGCAGTTGTAGGAGGTATCATCTTTGGAAAACTGACTTAGAAACCATAACCTATATACAATTTAGCTAAAGTACATCTTATTAATGCCGTGACACATCTACCTCGATTGAGCATACGACAACTTCTCAACCCTCTCCAACTCCTTCTCCTGCTTGGCCTCTTCTTGGTGCTCCGTTTCTCCAACTGTACTTGGTGGTGTTGCGTGACCTGATCTGACGGGGCTTGAACTGCCGTCACTAGATGTCCCGGTTGCTGACCCGTTGGCAGCCGAGTCTGACTTGGACGCATCGCCAGTCTCAGATTTGCCCTCTTGCATCTTGGCTGAGAGATACTTATTCGCTGCGTCAGCGCAGATATCCCTCGCGTTGTCCCCACTGAGGGTCTTGAGGACAGGGACGTCGACGTGAACTTCCTTCAAGAACCATGACCGAATCTCAACAGCCAAGAGGGAGTCGATACCGACATCTAGCAGCGACGCCTCGACGTTGAGACTTTCCGAAGTCATCTGTAGCATTGTCTCGACCTTAGCTCGGAAGGCAATAAGAAGAGCAGCAGCAGCCTCTTCTTCAGAACCAGCGGCTTCCAGTCGTTCCAAGATACGAATGTTACTCTGGCCTGCTCGGGACGCATCAATATCCTTGGAGCCCTCTTCCTCACGAACAAAGTGCGAAAAGCGAGGGTTGTTCACCCAAGGAGGTCGAGCCTTGGTGGACGCCGTGTAGTTGAAAGGCTGGATGCCTGACACCATCTCGATCGTGTCGTCATCCATCACTCCCGGTTTGCTCGCAGCGACAGCTTCAGCGAAGATCTGGTGAGCGTCCGACTCCGAGATTGGCATGTAAAAAGCCTTCTTGAGCCGCTCCATGAGTGTTGGACCCTTTGCAGCGATGTATCCAACATCAGCGACCATGCCCAGAGCCATGACTGATGCAGCGAGACCTCTTTCGCGTCTCTGTTGTGCAATGGCTGCTTGGAACAGAGAGGCGGCGTTGTAATTGGACTGGCCAGCATTGCCGACGACAGAACTCATAGACGAGAACAGAACAAAGAAGTCGAGAGTGGGCTCGGAGAAAATGTCGCTAAGATGGATTGTTCCATCAACCTTGGGCGCAAACACGTCACTTAATGCCTCAGGCCCCATCTTGACAAACAGCTGATCCTTGAGAACAAGCGCACCGTTGCAGACGCCACCAACAGGCGGGAGATCCTTGATGGAATCACATACAGCCTGCACAGAGTCACGCTTGGATACATCCATGGGGTAAACTCTGACAACAGCGCCCAAGTCCTCCATCTCTTGCAGCCAGAGTTGGTCGACCTGTGCTCTGCGGCTGGTAAGGACAATGTACTTCGCGCCGTTCTCGACCATCCAGCGACAGAGGGAGCGACCAAAGTCGGAGACGAGACCGACCATGAGGTAGGTCTTGTCGATGGAGAAGAGGCCTTGCCCACTGATTGGGCGGATGGTGACGCTGACGGGCTGGGGCTTGGTCCAGTCGATGATGGTGCGTGTGAGTTCGAGGGTTGGGAGTGAGGTGATGTCTTGGACGGGTACAGTTGTTGAAGTTGACGAGAGGTGTGATTGACGGCTGAACGTAAAAGCAGTCTCGAGTAGATGGGCAGTGTTGGAGGCCAATGTATGACTGGGCTTGAAGCTGATGGCCTCATACAAGTGAGATAGATGCTGCTTGACCTTGTCGTCGGTCTTGGAGAGATCGACGAAATGACTGATTCCCCGAGGGAGGATATTCTGAATGGTTCTGATGGATGCCCTGGGGTGGATGAAAATCGAGTCAGATCCTGTCACGGAGCTGGCAAAGGTAAGCTTGCGAGACGCTTGGGCAGTCAGTGCACTCTGTATGTCAGTGCTTGCACCGTAAATAAGAACACCTTCCTCTTCAGTGTTAAGTGCTGCTGATGAGATTGACGAGAGAAGGAGAGATGCAGTCAAGTTGACAGCTATGCCCCAGAGATCAGTCTGCATTTGTGTAGCCTGCGCCTCAGGGATGAGAAATACGTCGGTTGCCGGGAGCGAAATTGTTGAGCTGTGGCGTGGGGCGATGGCCATAGTGACTTGACCATCACTCTTGCCAAAGCAAAGGATCCTTGCATCGTCTTCACAGAAGGGAAGTGAAAGTGACTGCTCCACTTGGATATTGGCGATGCCATCACCAGTCAGGGACTTGGCCCAAGGAGCCTTCTCCTCAAGACAGGGACCGCCCTCAGTATTTGTCAGGATAGCCTCTGTCTCTCCAAGATAAACAACTTTCGTAATCTTCCTCCTCTGAGAGTTCAACCGATTATTCCTCTCCTTATCAGGCACAACTCTTGGAATAGTCACAAAACCATCCCTCAATAGCACCTCAGGCTCGGTACTCCACAAGATCGGCATCTTAGTAAACTCAGCTGACTTTCCAAGCTTGAGCTTCAAAAACGCCTCAACCACCATCTTCGCATCAACACTCGAGGCTTTGGGAAGGTCGAGGAACTGAAGGTTCAATTGGGGGAGTTCGTTGATGATAGCGCGGCCAAGACCGATTGTCATGTTGGCGTATGGGTTCTCATCGAGACGACCTGCTGTGAGCCAGAGGACGTGTGATGAGTGGGATAACAGAGACTGCAGGCTGCTGAGACGCGAAGAGGTCATGGGGGTAGAGAAGATGGGCTTTTCGAGTTCGGTGAGACAGATGACTGATGTTTCACTGCTGAGATGCTTATCTGATAGGGAGTCGATACTGTCGACGACCGTGACTTGGTCTGCGACTCGGGATGCAAGTCGCTGGATGCTCTTGACGATTCGGGAGATGGGTAGAGTCTTGCCACCAATGATGAGAAGTCGCTGTTCTAGTGGAATCTCATCGAGGAACGATAGCGGTTCCTGGAGCATTGTGACCCTCTCATCAGCGGCTTGTGATACGAGAACAGAGCACACATGCTTGAGAGAATCAGGTAAGTCAGTAACATACTTATCCGCTCCCGTAAAGCCCGAATCTCGGAGAATCTCATCCCATTCCGTCAGCCCGATACCTGGACCACGAGTTCTCCCCTCATCGACACCAAGCCACCAACCAGGCAAACCACCCATGAGAAACATCATTTGGAGATAGTAGCCCGTGACTTCAACCATAATGAGATAGCCGCCAGGCTTGAGAAGTTTGCGAACGTTGGTCATGGTCTCGTTGAGGTTGCGAGTGGCGTGGAGGACGTTGGCGGCTAGAACGACGTCTTGACTTCCTTCTGGAATTCCTTGGCCTGTGGGGTCATTCTCAATATCCAGGACTTTGTAGTCGAGACGCTTGCTGTGTGCATGGAAGCGTGTTTTGGCAGCTTCGAAGAATCCAGCTGAAATGTCGGTGTACGTATATCGACCATACGTGTCTCCAATGGCGTTGAGGACTGAGTTTGTTGTTCCGCCAGTACCAGCTCCAATCTCAAGGATGTTCAGACGGGGGTATCGGTGAGACAGGTTCTGGAAGAGTTCTGCGATTATCCTGTTGAGAGGCTGCATGGCTCGGCCATCGGTATAGAGGTTGCTCAGCATGTTATCGACAAGCATGACCTCCAGGAGTTGAGTGTCGGATGTCATGACTCCAACGAGGTTTTCGGCCACTGCATGAATGAGCTTGAGGTCAGCTTGTTCAGGATACTTGTCCTTGTATCCCTGGATCAGCTCTTCGGTATCATCGAACCACTCCTTCTGCGCAGTTGGGTGCTTGCCATCTCTCGTCTCCTGGAGGACCTCCTTTGCAGCTTTGTAGAAGGCTTGATGGAACCACTTCCAGTCCTGTACATCTGCTTCTGACAGATGATCAAAGGTCTTCCTGATGAAATAGAAAGACGTGCGGTCGATGGCTTCAGCGAGTGCAAGTTCTTGCTCATCAGGATTGATCTCGTCAAGATTCTCGGAAGAGTCCAAGATATCAGCACGCCAGATTGTCTTGGAGAACATGTGCCGGTCATCAGAGGAGCTTGCCTCGGTGAAGAGCTTCAAGGTAAGACCTTCAGCCTGCAAACCAGTCTTACCATCGAGGCTGATGATGTGTACATCTCCTCTGAACGTGTTGGACGTTGCCTCAGTAATGAAAGTATCTACGTCAAAGTTGATCTCACCTGGTACGCCCTCGTAATTGGTGCTCGGGGCAATAGCCAGCCTATCAATGCCGACAGGGAGGTAGGGTGCCCAAAGAGCTCCGCTAAGAGGAGTACACATGGCTGCAATGATGGAGTGGAAAGCGACGTCTAGAGGTCCTGGGTGCATGACATACTGGCTGCCCACTTCAGACTTGTCCCATGTTGCCTTTGTCGTAGCATATCCCATGGTTCGCTGAACAGACTTTAGACCTCGGAAAAGACCTTGATAGTTGAGGCCAATATTGAGCAGCGAGTCATAGTACTCCTGGGTGTCCACAGGTGTGATACCCGACTTCCCAGGTGCTCGTGGCGGAAGATCATAGTCCGAAGGCTCACCAAAGTCAATAGTGATCAGACCAGTACAGTTCCTCTCCAAAGTTCCTTCAGCTTCGGCAGGGCAGGTATGGCAAGAGAACTCTCCATAAAAGGTTTCCTCGTCAATATGGCCACCAATCTTCTTGACCGAGAAGATAGACTCAATGCCAGGGTTATTCTCCTCAATAGTCAAAGCCCGAGGAATAACAAGGTCGCGGATCTCTACCAGCTTGACAGGTCGTGAGCCGGCTATCTCCATGGCGGCTTGGATAGCCATAGCCATGTATCCAGATGTCGGGAAGAGAGCCATACCCTGAAAAGCATGACCGCGAATCCAGGGAAGTTCGTTGAGACGTAGGATGTTGCGCCAACGGATCTCAAACTCTGAGTCATCTGGAGTGCGTCGACCGAGAAGTTCGTGTGGAGCTTTGTCAGCGAGACGGTAACGACGGGAGATGCGGGACTCTTTCCAATGGATCTTGTTGTGGTTCCACGTGTAAGAGGGAAGTCCCTTGATCATCTTTGGCTTCTCTGCTTCAGGACCATGGATAGCTTTGTGGTACCCAGCAAAGTCAACATGGGATCCTAGATAGGCCCAGACGTAGCCGATTCCACCGGAGAATGCTTCGACATCATCATAACCACGTCTCAAGAAAGTGGCATATGGGAGAACATGACCCAGAGCAGTCTTCATAGTCTGTGAAGCAGGTCCTTTCAAAGCCGGGTGAGGTCCAATCTCGAGCGAGAGGTGGAAGGGACCAGCCCTCCAAAGCGAACACTCCAGTGCCTCAGAGAACAGAACAGGTCGAACCATATTGTCGATCCAGTACTGCCCGGCCAAAGCCGAAAGGTCATCCTCATCATCAAGCATATCTGCGTTTCCGTAGACTGATGAAACCCAGATACAGTTGCTGGAAGGAGTGTTGACAGTAATATTGCATGCCTTGAGCGACTCAAGATATGGCTCTGCACAAGCTCGCATATGATGCGAGTGATATGCTGTATCAACCTTAAGAAGACGAGCAAAAGTCTTCTGCTCCTCGAGGATCTCCTTCGCTGCTAAGATGGCATCTTCGTCGCCAGAAATAGTAGCGCTGGAAGGAGAGTTGCTTGCAGCAAGACTGATCCGTCCTTTGAACTGCTCCTGGTCGCAGAAGGCTGTCGCATTCTCAGAGCCCATACCTACAGCCATCATGGAGCCTTTATTGCCAGAAGGTCCAGAGGCGTGCTTGGCGTAGAGACCTCGGTAGTAGGCAATGCGCATGGCATCAGTGGCTGAGAGTAGACCAGCAGCGTAAACAGCAGAGATCTCGCCTGATGAGTGACCGACGACAGCATCAAAGTGAACGCCCGCAGATGCCAGGACATCCACAATGGCGATTTGCGTTGCTGTGCAAAGGGGCTGAGAGATGGCAGCTTCGCCGATGCGGGAGTTCTCTTCAGACGCCATCAACTCTTCCATAAGACTCCATGTCGGCGCGTCAGGGACATCATGCAAAGCATCTTCACACTTCTGTATGGACTCCCTAAACTGGAAAGACGTCTCAATCATGGTTTTACCCATGGACGCCCACTGCGCTCCTTGACCGGTGAAGATGCCCAGAATAGCCGGTTGTTCAGAAGATGAACCTGGCGCTTGGATGCCAATCTCAGCACCAGTCTTGGAGGTCTGAACAGCGGAATCGAGGAACTCGAGAAGCTTGTCCCGATTCTCGCCGGAGAAGAAGGCTCGTCGACTGAAGACACTTCGGCGGGTCTGAGTTACGAAGGCTACGTCTTCGAGGTTGACATCTGGATTTGACCGCATGAAATCGGCGTACTTCCCGACCGTTGTCGCGAGCGAAGACTCAGTCTCGGCAGAGATGACTAGGGGACCAACAAATTTCTGAGACGCCATTTCTGTGCGGGGCTCATCGGGCTGGTAGTTCTCAACAATGGCGTGGACATTGGTGCCTCCGAAGCCAAAGCTGTTTAGACTGACCCGTCGTGGGCCGTCAGAGACCTTTGGCCAAGGTATAGCTGTAGTCGGAACTTGGAGTCGATCGTAGAAGGGCTTGATTGAAGGATTCAGAGTGTTGAAGAGTAAATTGGGCGGAATGATGGCATTCTGCACCGCCAAAGATGCCTTGAGCAGACCTGCTAGGCCAGCGCATCCTTCGGTGTGCCCGATCACAGTCTTGATGGAGCCGCAGTAAAGCTTCTCCACATCCTCAGACGATGTTTCATCGTCCGCAAAGAATGACTGGCGGATAGCGCGGGCCTCAACCGGATCGCCAGCGAGTGTACCCGTGCCGTGGGCTTCAAAATACTGAGGTCGATCTTTGATAGGATCTAAACCAGCATTCTGATACGTTCGACGGATCAAGGCTGACTGGGCCGCCGCAGACGGCATAGTGATACCGGTTGTACGACCATCACTGTTCATACCCGTCTCACGCACGATACACTCAATGTGATCGCCGCATCGAATCGCTTCCGAAAGAGGCTTGAGAATGACAGATGCGACACCTTCGCCACGAGCGTAACCATCGGCTCCAGCATCCCACATTCGACTGCGTGACGTAGGACTCAGCATATGAAGCTTTGACTCAGCAACGTAACCTGCTGCATCAAAGATGAGATTCACTCCGACGGCTATAGCAGTGGTTGATTCGCCGCTTCGAAGAGATTGTGCTGCAAAGTGTAGTGCTGCGAGTGATGACGAACAGGCTGTGTCCATTGTAACTGAGGGTCCGCGAAGATCAAAGTAGTACGACACTCGATTTGAGAGAATACTCTTTGAAGTCCCCGTTGGGTGATATCGATTGATGATCTCAGGATCTCTCGATTGAATATCATGGTAATCACCCGTCATAACCCCCAAATAAACCGACGTCAACGATCCTTGCATCTCCTCGATAGTATACCCCGCAGCCTCAAGCGATTCATAAACCGTCTCAAGCGTCAATCTCTGCTGCGGATCCATACCATCAGCCTCAGCGGGGTTAACATTGAAGAACGAGGCGTCGAACAAGCGACTGTCTTCTTCGAGAAGGTAGCCTTTGTTGCAGACGTCTGTGGCGCCGTGATGCTCGCCATCTTTGTTGTAGAAGGCTTCAAGGTTGAGACGGTCTTTGGGGAATTCGCGAAGGCAGTCTTTGGGAGATTTGAGAAGAGACCAGAGTTTGGAGGGGGATGAGGCGCCGCCAGGGAAACGGCAGGCTGAGCCGATTACGGCGATGGGCTCGCCTGGGGATGGCATTATGATTGTTAGGTTGGGTAATGAGTGTAGTGCCGTGCTGTTGAAGACAAAATTTATGTCCAAATGTTGAAGGGTTGTTCAGTACGACAGATTACTTGCTGTTTGTCCAAGGTTGCGGTTGCTTCATTCGACGGATATCATTCATCTTAACTCAAGTTAACAGCAAAGCACTATCAGCACAGAACCGTATTGGGAATTTCGTATTCCATCTTCGATCAGATCGAACCGGCATCAGCTCCCGCGCCGCCCCAGACCTTGCGGCACCGACCAAACATGCTTGTGCTTACATCGAGTGCCGTCCATAGTGTGGAGCATATTCCGGAGGCACCGTTGACCAACCGGAATGGATCAATATCCCGAGCAAGGGTATGGATCCTCCTACGGGGCAGTTTCCGGGGAATGCGGAGAAGTTCCTCTAGTAGATGCCGGCTTACGGTGTTGATTGCTCGGAGCAAGGCCGTTGTGTCTTGCGCAGTTACCAGGGAACAGGCTGTATGGTGGCAAAGGAATGCGAGCGTTCTTGATCAAAACAGTCTTCACTGGCTGACGAGTATGTACGCTCAGAGATGCGACGACTGCTCTGGTTGATTGATCTGCCATCTCAACTCTGTTCGAACCATCTCACTGTGGTAGTCTCACTCACTCGTCACTATCGTTGTCGTTGTCGGCTACCTTCATCATGGCAGTCCAATCAATCATCTCGCGTCTACCAGCTACTCAAAGAGCCCTCAAAGTTCAAGGTGCAGGAACAGTCACTCTCCAAGAAAACAGTCCCATCGAGCCTCCAAAAGAAGATGAAGTCCTTGTCAGAATCTTCTGTGTCGGCGTCAATCCCCATGATTGGAAATCCCTAGACATGTCAGCATCCCCTGGCGCAACATGGGGCTGCGATTTCGCTGGTGAAGTCATTACTGCAGGACCGCTCACAAGCAAGTTCAAACCTGGTGATCGCGTTGGTGGTGCTTGTGCAGGAAACAGATCTGACAATCCGAATAACGGAGGTTTTGCAGAGTACGTCAGTGTACCGGAGATGTTGCTGCTTAGACTTCCGGATTGGATGAGTTTCGAGCAGGGCGCGACATTGGGTGTTGGGCTACTGACTGTCGGGTTGTCGTTGTACCATACTATGAAGCTCCCACTTCCTTACTCGGGTGAAGCGAGAGACCAGTACATTCTGATCTACGGTGGTGGAACGGCTACCGGAGGTTTAGCCATCCAGGCTGCCAAACTGTAAGTCCATCGTCCTTACACTGTGAGCCTAAGCTGATGATATTCAGATCTGGCTTAAAGCCCATCACAACCTGTTCACCAGGAAAGTTTGAGCACGTCAAGTCTCTAGGCGCCGTGGAAGCCTTCGACTACCGCTCTCCCTCCTGCGCCTCAGACATCCGCACCTTCACACACGATAGTCTAGAGTATGTTTTTGACTGTATCACCGAGAGCAGCAGCATGAAAATTTGCTACGCTGCCATCGGTAGTCACGGGGGTAATTACATCGGTCTAGACCAATTTCCCATTCGCGGCCACACGCGTCGCGATGTTCGTCCTGGCTGGGTTCTCGCATGGACAGCGCTGGGCAAACCTGTTGATTGGAGAAAGCCATACCGCAGAGAGGCAAGGCCCAAGGATAAGGCGTTTGCGGAGAGATGGGCGCCTATCGCGCAGAAGTTGTTGGACAACAAGGATATTGTGACGCACCCTACTGAGGTTAGTGATGAGGGGTTGGCGGGTGTCGCAAAGGGAGCTGAGAGGGTCAAGATGGGCACAGCTGGTGGTAAGAAGCTGATATACCGTGTTGCTACGCCCTCAACGTCTTGATTGCGCGTGTTTATGATAGCTATTTATTTTTTTTAGCAATTTCCTTATCGATCTCGACTCGGTTCAGATTGGCAGTTTTGTCTGGGACGCGTCGCGCTGTTTTGAACCGCAACACGCTAGAGTCAAAGATCATATCTATTTTTAGCAAACCCCGATCGCAGCACTCGTGTTTAACATCACTTGCTTCTCACAATTAACTAGATTAAATATATACAAAGAGTGTCAGTGGAGGCTTCTACATGAATAATTGAAATTTTTCGGCTTGTGGATTATTTGAGCACCTTGGCAGATGGAAGCCGTTGGTTTTCCTCATCGAATGGCTTTGAGATCACGAAGGTGTAATTTCACTACCAAGGTCGGCCGTGTGCAACACATACACGCAGGAGTACCTCCTAGACATTATAAACATCAAGACCACAGATCAATTGAAGATCCAACAGCTCAAATACTGAAATAAACTCTTCTTGTTGACTCTGGTTTAGCCCTACATCCTTCATAGCTGCTTTCCCTTTCATTTGTTTTTAGGTACCCTATACTCTATGAATGACATCAGATGTACCGCTCAGCAAACTTAGAGCAGCTGATTCAAAAGTGTCCCAAAACCTATCGGATACTCCTTGATAGATCCTCCCGCGGGACTGGACGCTTCACTGTGCGCCAAAAGCCTATCTCGCCCGCCTGCAGCCTGTCACACGCGTTTACAGGCAGACGGAGTAAATTTCCGTTGGAGTGGAGAATCTCCGGGCTCGGCCCCGCAGCGGCGAGATGGTCTCCAGGAGCAAGGAAAGATCGGACCCCTAACATACGGTGTCAAAATAAACTTAGCAAAGGTATCCTAAGCTCAGACTAAACTTACCCTAAGCTTATACTAATTTACCTAAACCTTTATGTCACTTGGGATCAAGGTCCTGGGTTTTCTTCCCTCCCGATGGTGGATACGGATACGTTCACCCCGGTCTCACCTTATAGACCCGGTTTTTGGTAGACCTCTGATCCGCTCTCTGTATGTCTCATACCATTTGTGTTGCTAATTGCAATTTCTTTCCTTCTCATAACCAAGCACTCATACATCCCAAAGCCTTTCATTCTTCACTCATACCAATGACGTTTGGCTGCCCTTACGTCGTTGCCATCCCCTTCCGCACTGAAGTTCCTAACACAGTCCAACATGTCATCTCGTCTCTCCGCGATTTCACTTGTAGCATTCTACGGTCTTGTAATTTCCTACTTCCTAAACAGACTATGGGACCATATCAGCTACTCAATCAAGACGAAGAAGTACAAATGCGGCTCTCTCAAGACCTATCCCCACTGGGATCCCATCTGGGGCATTGACTTTGTTCTCTCCATGAGCCGTGCTTTCAAAGAGCATCGGTGGTTATCATGGATGGAGGAGACATGGGCCGCGCAAGGAACCAAGACTTTCAAGGCCAGATTTCTGGGAATGAGGATGGTGTATTCGTCTGAGATGGAGAATATGAAGGCGATGAGTACTTCGCAGTGGGAGGAATTTGTGCTTGAGCCGATTCGTGTGGATAATGGTGTCGCGACGCCGTTTACTGGGAAAGGTGTTAGTACGGCGGATGGTGAGTTCTGGCATTATAGCCGGGGTATCATCAAACCGTATTTTGAGAGGCAGGCATTTGCCAATATCGCGAGATTGAAACCGTTCACGGATAAGATGTTGGACCTCATTCCCACTAACGGCGACACCTTTGACATGCAGGTTCTGACAAGACGATGGGTAAGTGGTATCTGGTCAATGTGAACGAAACTGACTTGGCATCAACAGTTTTTGGACACGTCAACCGAGTTTCTTTTTGGAAAGTCTCGCGACTGTCTCACTTATCCTGAACGTGAAGACGTAATGCTCGCCATGGTAGACATCATGCGCGGTGCACGCGTCCGTCTCACCATGAGCAAGTTCATGTTTCTCCACCGAGATCCAAAATGGTATGAGAGCATTCGCTTCGTGCACAACTTTATGAATGAGTACATCGACCAAGCCTATGATGAGCTGCACCAGCGAAAAGAGCAAGGTGAGAAGTTTGCTGATAAGCCTGAGCGAACCGACTTGCTCTGGGACATGGTGCAGAAGATCCCTTCTGAGGATAGAATTCTTCTCAGAGACCAGATCACTGCTGTTTGGGTGCCGAGTAATGAGACTACTAGTATTCATATCTCAAATGCTATTTATCAATTGGCGAGACATCCGGATGCTTGGGAGAAATTGCAGAAGGAGGTTCTTGAACTTGGGGATGAGGAGCTCACGTTCTCCAAGCTTCGCGGGATGAAATACATGAACTGGGTTATCAACGAGAGTGAGTAAATTCAACTTATCACTGCCCGCTCACTAATAGTTTCAGCACACCGCACTATTCCAAATGGCATCCAAATGATCCGCGTCGCAGCCAATGACACAACCCTGCCCCGCGGCGGAGGTCCAGACGGCAAACAGCCCATCTTCTGCGCCAAAGGCGACATTGTCCACTGCAATCGCTATCTCATGCATCGGGACCCTGACTACTGGGGTGAAGATGCAGCTGAGTTTAGACCAGAACGATGGGATGGTCTTCGTCCGCTTTGGCATTTCGTCCCATTTGGTGGCGGACCTAGAATCTGCCCTGCTCATATTCTTGTCGCTACTGAGACAGCTTATGTTTTGACGAGATTTTGTCAGAAGTTTAAGGGGATTGAGGCGAGGGATGAGAGGGGCTATGTTCCTGTTATGAGAGTTGGGCCTAGCAGTCTGAATGGCGTGAAAATTGCTGTGACCACGAGGTAAAGCTACAAGGGGCAAGATTAGGGCGACGGCTGTCTGAGAAAATGTGTTATTGATCATTAAGGGAATCTATACTTAAGCTTGACTAGGGTAGTTACATCATGACAACCATATTCGATCAGTTTTGAATGCTTCATCTATGAAAGACAAAAGTGATTCAAAGGACATAGCTCTACTTTTGACTTAATGTCTCATCAAACACCTGCTGGATATGCTCCAAAACCCTGAGAGGCCATTCTTCTCTCTCCAGAGGCCCCAGCACTTTGCCATCCGTAACTGTGCTCCCGTCACTCAAGACACGATAAAAACCACTACACGACCCATAGCAGGCTGCTTGATCAGTGACGTCTACAACTGCAGAACAAATCATTTCTCTGCTTGGATATCTCCCACTCCAAGC